ACAGGAGAAAACAGGAGATTCCCTAATGGAGCTTCTCACCCGCCTTGTTTTCTGTTTGCTTGCGGAAGATCATCCTAGTGTGTTATTGAAATGGATTCACAGCAATAAGTAGATTTTTGAATTATTATGTGATAAAACCCTGGGCAGCTATTTCCAGTTTCGTATTGGGTGGACCTTAGCCAACAGAGCAATCACAGTCATGGAAACTGATCTGATGACATCATCTATTTCATCTCGAGTCCCGCTGCACCTTCTTTCTCATTTCTATTTGTGATATGAATAAAACAGGTAGAGTTCAATAAAAAAATTAAATTTGCATTTTTATGTTGACAAAAACGAAAAAGTGTCTATGAACATTTTAAAGTCATCATATTAAGAAAGTCTTACATACATTTTCTTTCTCTTTTTACTGACATGTAACTGTACAGCTCCAGGAGGTTTGACAAAGTCCACAGCCACCTAACAGCACTCCTTTCAAGGACAGAACCTCGCTAAAAGGACAGAACCTCGCTGGCACCCTGCAATCGCCCTCTGCTCCCAGCAACAACCTCTCTTCTGACTCCCATCCCTGCCTTTCACAGACTGCCGTTCATGAACTTTCTACAAACAGGTGATACTAGAGGTTCTGTTTTCACCTGGCTTCTTTGGCTCCAGGTTGTGAAGTCTCATGACCTGCAGCACATAGCTTATTCACTTTGGGGAATGGTGGTATTCCTTTGTATGAATACTCTGCCATTGTTTATCAATCTTCCTATTGATAGGTAATTCGTTTTCTCCACACTTTTTCCCATTATGAATAAAGCTGCAGTGAAGAGTACCATAAAGACATTTTTCAGACAATTATTTCCATTTCTTTACAAATACCTGAGCCTGAAACAGCTGGATCCTATGGTACTATACGTTTTACTTTCTGTGAAAATACCAGTTTTCCCAACTGGTATTTTCCCAACTCTTTCTCAACATAAGAGTTCCCAACTCTTATGCTCTGGCCAGCAGTGCATAAGAGTTCCAATGGCTTCTTTCCTTGCCAACATTTGGTACCACCATTAAAAAAAAATTGGTATTTTTATGGGCATGTAATGGTACTTTGTTGTGGTTTTAATTTGCATTTGCCTAATGGATAAGGATGTGAGCCATTTTTTATATTTATCATCCTGTGTCACTTCTATCTTTATTTACATGCTCTGTGTCTGAGTTTTTTGTTCTTTTCATTTGGTTGCTCATATTTAATTTTCAGGGAATCTATATTCATATCACAAATATATCCAATATTATATCTCTTCTTTATTCTACTAATATGGGGGATTGATTTTCAAATATTAGTGCCACCTTGAATTTCACTAATAAATTGCTTTTTAATATGGCTTTTTATGTGATAATAATGCAAGCAGAGTTTTTACCCCATATTCACAGAGGATAATCATCTAGGCTTTCTTTTCCTCTAACGCCCTTGTCAAGTTTGGGACTAGGGCTGTTCTGGCCTTGTGAAATGAACCCTCCTCCCTGTGTTTTAGAAGGTTTCCAGTAGGGTAGAATGATTGCTTTACTTTTTTATATTTTGTTTTATATATTAAATATATATTTAATATAGTTTTTATTTTTTTATCAAATTTTATATTTTATATACATGTCCAGAACGTGCAAGTTTGTAACATAGGTATACATGTGCCATGTTCACCTCCCCACGCAACACCCACACTTATGTTTATCCCTCACCCATAACCACGGCCATGTTTATCTCCCCACCCACACCCACAGCCATGCTCACTCCCCACCCACACCCACAGACATGTTCACCCCCTGCCCGCACCCACAGACATGTTCACCCCCTGCCCGCACCCACAGACATGTTCACCCCCTACCCGCACCCACAGACATGCTCACCCCCTACCCATACCCACAGCAATGTTCACCCCCCACCCACACCCTCAGCCATGTTCACCCTTCACCCATACACACAGCAATGTTCACCCCCCACCCACACCCTCAGCCATGTTCACCCCTCACCCACACCCACAGCAATGTTCACCCCCCACCCACACCCTCAGCCATGTTCACCCTCCACTCACACCCACAGCCATGCTCACCCCTCACCCATACCCACAGCAATGTTCACCCCCCACCCACTCCCACAGCCATGCTCACCCCAACCCACACCCACAGACATGTTCACCCTCCACCCACACCCACAGATTTGTTCACCCCCCACCCACACCCTCAGCCATGTTCACCCAACACCCTCACCCACAGACATGTTCACCCCCCACCCACAACCACAGACATGTTCACCCCCCACCCACACCCACAGCCATGTTCACCCCTCACTTACACCCACAGTCATGTTCATATGATTGGGATTTCTCGTGGTGCTGACAGAAAAACAAAGGTCGTTTGCATCCTTTGACATCCCTAGCAGAAGTGGAACTTTCCACACAGGCTTTTCACTTGTGTTCTGTGAGATAAGCTGAAGTCGTAAAATGGGCCAGGTTTGTAAAAGTGGGTGGAATGCATTTCAGAAACACAGACTCTGCAAACGTGGAAGATGTCATATGCTGGTGTTTCTTCTATGAGCTTCTATAAGACACTTCCACAGAACACCCTCAGCCATTTCACTTTAGAAAGATCCTTCTGCTCATTAAATGTCATCTCCCTGCCCGTTGGTGGTTTTATTCCCAGCACATCAGGATAAACACAAGTTGACCAACTAATGTAATTCACTTCAGGAAACCAAAGGAAAAGCACTTTTGAGGGACGAAGTCTGCCAAACCTATGTTTATTTTAGCTAGAAAACATAAATTTTGGCAAAGTCTAAATTTAAGATCAAAGTCTTTGGGTGAGACAATGATATTTTCCAGTCTGTGGCCTAATTAAATCAGCTTTATCCTACACCTAGGAAAGGCACCCTGAAGCATCAATAAACAATGATTTAAACATGGCATCTGGTCTCCTGATGTTTCCTTCTGTGACTGGAGACCCAGTGGGGTGAGCATTGATAACAGCAAAGTTACCAGACCTGGCATGGGCTGGAAGACTCCCAGGCAAGATCACACATTCCAGTGAGTGTGAGGACCAGATATAAGCGGTTTGCATTATCTGAGGCATTAGAGTTGTCAAAATAAAATGTACATGAGCTCAGGTCCAAATGCTCCTACATCTCTGCAGCATGAAATCTCACTGCACACCCAACTGAGTTTCTGCCTGAACACTGATGTCTGTTTCCTAGAATCCAGCCCTTCCACCAGCACCCCACTCTTGCACAACTGGGCCTGATTGCCCCCAAGATTTCCCAGGATTCTGATTCTAGGTAGAGTGCCTTCAACTAATAGTCAAGACGTCACAGGCTTCCAGGCTTCTGAGCTGTGAGGAGAGCACCCTGGCAGAGGACGCCCCACAGGAGGACAGTGTGCCGGGTGGACCCACAAGCAGAGAGCCCAGCTAGAGTTGTCAAGATCAAGATCATCACCAATCTCTATTTAATGTGGTAGAGAATGCTACCACCTGGAGCCTCATCACTTTAAAGTCCTAGAAAGAAGCAGACAGAGCCAGGGAGAAACGTACTGAGCGGATCTCTCAGTCGTTAGGAGGCTTGACTGTGCGGGAGCCACCAGAATGTGAGGAGGGCATGAGCCTTTTGGGTTTGGGTTTTCAGAGGCTCAGCGAAGCCTGGGATAGCTCTGACTATTGTCTGGAGATCCTTCCCCCAGGCGGCACCACACCCTGTTAGTCGTGATGTAACTGGAAATGCAAATGAGAAACCTGCCGCCCCTGAAACCCTTTGTGGGATTAGTGAAGGCACGGGTCAGAAGTCATGGGGGAGCCCCATGAGAGAAAGGCTTTTCCCAGGACACCCTGGCGATGCAAACATTTCTGGATAGCTGATGGGATTTGTCTTTATAAAGTCGCCAACTTGCCAGTTAAAAAAGAAAAAGACTCAAATGTCACAGGCACGAAGGATATGGCTAAAAGAACAATTAATGAGCTGGACAAATAGACACACAGGCGCCAATTATCCAAGATGCTCTCTTACAACAGCTCTCAGACGTTCTCCCTGCTGCTTTAACATCGAGTCCCCAAAACTCAAAGCCTGCATAGCACAAGCAAAAAGGAAAACAGCCCTGTGGCGCCCGCCAAGTTCCCACAGGGTGTAGGTCATGCTGTGGGGGCCTTGAAGATGGTACCTTGGCACCGAGGTTTCCAATATTAAACACTAATTTCCCACGTTCCCTCCGTGGTTCCAGGCACACATAGCCCACCTGGGAAACAGGTTTGGCTCATAGATCAGGCTTGACCTCTAGCCCACCTCAGACTCCTTTAACTCGAGTGCCCACGTATGAATCCATGCAGAGCCCGCCTATAAGCAGCGGGGACTGTCGGTACCTCACTGGCATTTGCTTGGGGTGGAACACTGCGTGGATCCAGGCCCTGCTGGAGCTGCGGGCTTATCACAACCTGAGGCTGTGGACTTACCAGGTTCTGAGTAGGAAAGGCTGGCACTGCCAGCTCCGCCTTCCCTAGGCTGCACCTCTCCACAGGCTTCCCCTCCCACAAGCCCTACCTCCCATGAACTCTGCCTTCCATCAGCCCCACCTCCCCTAGCACCTGCCTCCTTATAGTTCCCACCTCCCCTAGACCCCACCTCCATGAATCCCACCTTCATGAACCCCACCTCCTATCAGCCCCACCTCCCACCCCAGCTTCGGGCTCTGTGCAGCAAGTCACTCACAATCACAGTTTAAAAGTTTAGACAGGCCCGGGTACCGTGGCTCACGCCTATAATCCCAGCACTTTGGGAGGCTGAGGCGGTGGATCACCTGAGGTCAGGAGTTCAAGACAAGCCTGGCCAATAATTAGCCTGATGTGGTGGTGCCACCTATAATCCTAGCTACTCGGGAGGCTGAGGCGGGGGCTGCAGTGAGCCGAGATCCTGCCAATGCACTCCAGCCTGGGTAGCAGAGACAAATTAAATTTGACACAGCTCAATTTAGCAAAGAACAACTCACCATTGGGACCCCCAGATCCAGTGTCAGAACCGCCAGGGCTGCCCCAGGGCCGGGAGCCTGGATGGTGGAAACCAAACGGCCTCGGATGTGGAAAGGACTATGGCAGGAGGGTACCACCACTGGCTGAGGCTCATATTGCAACCCAGTTGCTGTGATTGGCTGAGGATCAGCTGCTGTGATTGGCTGAGGATCAGCTGCTGTGATTGGCTGAGGGTCAGCTGCTATGATTGGCTGACACTCGGATGCTGTGATTGGCTGAGACTGCACTTGCTGTCCTGAGAGCATGCGCAGTTCTCACTCTGCGGTCTGGCTCGCCCTAGGTAGGGGTTCTCTGGGCCCACCTGAAGGTTGAGCTTTCCCTCTCGCTCCGTGAATGGGGACATCCAGCTCTTGCCCTCGAACACCGGAGCTCCTGGCTCTTGGAACTTTGAACCCGGGCTGAATGACTCCCTGGGCTTCCCCAGCTCTCCAGCTTGCAGAGGGGCCTCCCTGGCCTCCAGGGTGATGTGGACTCGCTCCCATCACCACCGCCTCAGGTCCGCACCTCCTGTAGTTTTCTTCCTCTGAGGAGCCCTGGCTGATACCCAGGGCCGGCTGGGCCCTCTGCGTCCCTCTCTTCCCTGGACCTGGTCTCCAGCCCTTTCAACGCCACCCCTGCCCCCCGCCACAGTCCCTCCCTGGGGACCCCAGAAGCCTGGGGTTAGGCCTCAGCCAAGGCTGCTCCCAATCCAGAGGCACTTCAGCCTGGCCTTCGGGACAGGATCTATTCACCTGCAGCCATCCAGAGTCCACGTGCTCATATCTAGCTGGGACTCCCCTCCAGGGGCAGAAGCGGCTCCATCGCTGCCAGCAGACCTTGGACACTTCGGTTTCTCTAATGCTCACCTCCTACCCGCTGGATTTATCTTCACAATTTACTAGCCCCGCCAGTTCCCGCCCCCTGGGCCGCCAGCGTGGTCCCACCTAGTCCAGTCCATGCCTCCCTTGCTGGTGGCAGTGGTGGCCTCTGAGGTTCTCCCTAGTCCCACCTGGCCTTGCCCTGGAGTCCCTGTTTGCTGTCAGTTCAACTCTGAAGGATCCAGGGCCACTCCACAGATCAGAGCCCTGAGTGACTCCTGGTTCGGCCAGAGGAAGAGCCAGGCTCTTCCTGTGGCCCCTGCCCTGTGTATCCCTCCAGACGCCTCACCCTGACCACCCAGAGTAAGCTAAGGTCTCTGCCCCTCAAGGAAACCTTCCTGCCCCACCGCGCCCACTTAGTAATGAAGCTTCATCGTGTGCTCCAGGGCCAGGGTATCCTGGCTTCTGTAACCTGCTGTGCTTCCGTGTCCGTAGCACGCACCACCTTTCTCAGGTCATTTATTGACTTTTACTTTGCATGTCATTGTTGATTGCTCAGCTTCCAAGGCAGAGGTGAGCTCTGATTTTCTTTAGGGACATATTCCAGGGCCCTGGAAGAGGTCCTGGAGGGCGCTCCTTTGATTAATTTGGATGGAACTGAGGAAGCTGGTGGAGTGGATGGCAAAGACATTGCTCAGCTGCTCATAGGAAAAACTGTGGGTCAAGCACTATTAGATTCCAACATATCAGCAGTCAATCAATCACCTTTCTTTAAAGTGTGAATTCCTTGACTCCAGTTTCCTAAAAGAGCAAGTAAAAAGTAAGGAAAACACAAATTAAAAATAAGAGGTGCAACTTTTCCTGTATTAACAGGAGAGTGCCCTGGCACCTTTTCTCAGAGCATTTACTGTAGAAAACTTGTAATTGAAAGTGCTTTGCCCCTTTGAAATGTGTATAACTCTTTTTAAAAGCTAAATAAACTTCATGACAGTTTTACAGCCCAGGAATGTCTTTCTCAAGGACTTGGGAGCCATCCATTTGAAACATAGTCATCCAGGAAGGCAGCTCCAGATTCCCTGGGAGGCAAGGGCCTAGCTAGGTCAACTGGCAGGGCCTCGAAGTTGCAAACCCACCTCCTGTTGTAAAGATAGAAGTTTATTTTTCCCTATGGATAAAGCCAGTTAACTAGCGGTGGCCATCCAAGTTGTCAGGCGAATCGGGGATGAGCTGTAAGTGGCAAGTGGAACCGTGGTGTCCTCTCACCTGAGTCTGAGTTCCCGCCCACCTCAGCATGAGTGTGTTGGCTGCACCTGCTGGCCATGTGAAGGAGAGGTTTCCTGTCTTTGCAATCACTTAGTGAGTCACCTGTGATGCATGTCATATTCCAGTTTAGTGCTTATTCTATCATAAAATGGTCTTCTTTTTCTTCTACCATTGTGGAGATTTTTTCCAGTTTGTCAGAAGATTCCAGTGTTAATTATATTCCCCCACAAAAGTCTCAAAGATGCAGGTGTCTTTGCAAGACTCTTGGCAGGTGAGGGCTTCTGTTTTGTCGGTGGGAACTTCAGATGAAGACTCCTTTGTGGAAGGGAAGTGAGAGCCAGGACTGGGCTTTTTCCACAACCACGAAGGGATGCCCTTGAGTCGGTAATGCCACTGCCCAGCGGGGTTCACCTCCCCCGCTGCCTAGACAGAGCCCATATTTCAAGGCAGGGGAATTGCAATACAGAAAGAGTAATTCACACAGAACTGGCTGTGCAGGAGACCAGAGTTTTATTATTACTCAAAGTAGTCTCCCTGAAAACGGGCGGGAGGTGGCAGGGAGATCAGAGTTTTCAAGGATAATTTGGTGGGTAGGGACTTGGGAAGTGGGGAGTGCCGATGGGTCGAGCTGGAGATGGAATCATACGAGGTGAAAGTGGGTTCTTCTTGCTGTCTTCTGTCCCTGGGTGGGATCACAGAACTGGTTGAGCCAGATTACCAACATGGGTGGCTGGGTGGCGTCAGCTGGTGTCTGGATGGGAACCCAGGGTCTGCAAAATATCTCAGGCCCTGATCTTAGGTTTTACATCAGTGATGTTATTCCCAGAAGCAACTCGAGGAAGTCCAGACTCCTGCAGATGGAGGCTGCATGGCCCCTAAATCATAATTGCTCATCTTGTAGCTAATTTGTTAGTCCTGCAAAGGCAGACTGGTCCACAGGCAAGAAGACGGTTTATTTTGGGAAAGAGCTGTTATGATATTTGTTTCAAAGTTGAACTATAAATGTCTTCCTGAGGTTAGTTCAGCCTCTGCCAGGCATGAATAAGAACAGCTTAGAAGTTAGAAGCAAGATGGAGCCAGTTAGGTCCGATCTCTTTCACGGCCATCATTTCCTCAGTTACAATTTTTGCAGCCTTAGTCATGTAGCCAGGCATCTTTGGCTCTGGATGGGTGTCAGCCAACCATGGGCTGCTGACCATATTGGGAAGCTCTGATGTATTCATAAATAAAGTTTTATTTATGCAGCCATCCCCATGAGTTCAGTTATGACTACATTTATACTAGGATGGGGGAGTTGAGTAGTTTTATTTCAATACACTGGTTTGGTGCTAGAGAAAAAATGGAGAAAGTATATTTCATACATTACTACCTTGGTGGTGGTGGTGTTCACTTTGTCTTATGTTTACTGTGTTGGTGTAGGTTTTTTAATCCAATCTGATCATTTCTATCTTTGAACAGTAAGTTATAATTTGCATATGTTTGTAATATCATTCATAGCTTTAAAGCAACTTCAGGCATATTATTTGATTTTTTAAAAACTTACTGTGGGCCAGGTGCAGTGGCTCACACCTGTCATCCCAAGACTTTGGGAGACCCAGGCGGGTGGATCACCTGAGGTCAAGACCAGCCTGGCCAACATGTGAAACCCTGTCTCTACTAAAAATACAAAAATTAGCCAGGTCTGGTGGCACGCGTCTGTAATCCCAGCTACTCCAGGGGCAGAGGCAGGAGAATCGCTTGAACGTGGGAGGTAGAGATTGCAGTGAGCCGAGATAGTACCACTGCGCTCTAGCCTGGGCAACAGAGTGAGACCCTGTCTAAAAATAAAAAACAAAAATTAAAAAATTTTTTTAACTTAACTGTGTTTTTTTTACCTTGTAAAAGTTTATTTTTTTGACTTTTTAAAAACTTACTGGTTTTTTTAACCTTGTAAACAATGTAGTGTATTTTTTAAATTATAGAAAACTTGAAATAATTGGGTATTAACAGAGTCTCATTTGTTTCAGATCTCTAATTTTAAAGGAGGAGGCATTAGAGACAGCTGAAACCTTAGCATCCACCCTTCTTCCTCACCCTCCATGGGTCATGAAGTGTGATGGGTCCCCGGACAGGTGTGTGTCTGCTGCTTGAACTTGGAAGATCAGGCAGTGAGGGAAGACCGTGGTGCCCAGCTAAGGAGCAGGTATCCCCAAGAATCCAGATATCCTTAAGAGAATCTGAGAACCCACCAAGAAAAGCAGTCTCAAAGTGCAAATGCAGCAGGCAGAGAGCCAGTAAATTAGGTTTAAAGCAGCTTAGATGTGGGAGGTAGCACAGACCTCTAGGGCTGACCTGTCCCCATCCAGGAGTGCCCCCATGTACATCCCAATAAATTCATCTCCCACCCCCACCCAGGAGTGCCTCCACATACATCCCAATAAATTCATCTCCCGCCCCCACCCAGGAGTGTCCCCATGTACATCCTAATAAATTCATCGGCCGCCAAGCTGCACTTATCCGAGGCATTCCTTAGTCACTTGGCTCCAGTATGGGGGGGATATTGCAGTCCCAAGGTTTTCGGGTTAATAGATCACCTCTGACCTGAAGCTGATATCCATTGTCCTAGTACACATGTGTGCCCCAGGGCTTTGAGTGTACCTGTCCCTGGTCCTCCCCACTCTCTCCATCTGTTTTACTGTCTTTGTCTCTCTCTCTCTGTCCCCTGCTCTAGCTCTGCCCCACCTTTATGAAAGCACAAAACACACAGATGTAAGATAAAGATACGCCTGTGTGCTCTGTACTTTAAACATGCGTGGACTGCAGAGGCTGTGACGTATGAGTCCTCACAGAACTGCTGTGCCTTGACGCTTCTGTTTGGGGGACGCACCCATTCATCAAATGTCACGCCCCTTCCTGGTCTGAGTGGTGACCAGTTAGCACTCACAGATGTCAGGCAAGGTTTCTCTTCCCTCATTTTCATCTTACAGCAAATGAGCAGGAAAGACTTAAGAACAGACACCCACAGTTGAGCTGTGAGTTTGCTCATGGGGTGAGAAGATTCCCAGCTCATCTGCAATCAGCCTGCACAGTCTCTGAGCCCATGGCCCTGTCCTTGCCAGCACCAGACGTTGTGATTGTGGTGAGAAGCTGGCGCTACAGGCCTCGAGTTTCCCCATCGTTTCGACTCTCCACCCCCTCATTTCCATGGGCCAGGGTCTCTTGCCATGTCTTAATCAGCCATTCTGGGTTCTTTTCATGAGGATTACTTGTTTCTATTCTCCTTTCATTTTCCTTCCAGACAGCTTGTCTTGTTCCTCACTGAGGTGGGAGGTTTGTCTATGTAATTATATTAC